AAGCCACTTCGCCGCAGTGCCCCTGGGCACGTGTGTCAGAGAGGCGCATTCCATACCTCTCGTGATCTCAGATGTATCCATTATCTCTCATCGTCGCCTCCAGGGCGAAACATCCCCAACGCGCGAAGTCTTTAAAATAAAACGTTGATCGGTTACAGCCGCGTAAATCATCAAACAGATTGAGGTCCATTAGCCTCGTGAGGAGCTTGCGGGGCGATGTTTTGAAGCGACAGTGGTGGCTGTGTTACTGCTGCTCGTGCTGGTGGTGGCGGTGCTGCTACTGTAGCGGCGGCGGTGGTGGTGGTGGCCGCGATGATGGTGCCAGTGGCGGTGGTTGGTGGTGATGGTGGTGTTGACCCTGGTGGTTGCGGTGGTGATGTTTGTGCTGGCGGCGGCTGAGCAGTGGCGAAGTGGTCAGCGCACTGCGCTACGAACCCGGCAACCTGGGTTCGAGTCTGGCTCACGGCCAACATTAGTGGCGAATATTTGAACCCGTCCTGGGCCTCTTCCGGGTGGACTCAGCCTCAAGAAGCGTACCCGGTGCGATGTGTAAATATCGCCACAAGAGAGACAAAGGCCGCCACCCACGTGTGCCGTGCTGGGCTTCAAAGATGTTACTCGTTTACAGCACTTGCCCCGATAGTTATTTATCGTTTAGTGGTGGTTGTTAATCACCACTAAACAATGCTAACCCAATGTGGTGGTTGTTAACCACCACTAAACGATGTTAACCCAATGCAAACAATGTGTGCGTGAAACTGTAACCGGGCGTGGAGCTAAATCTGGGGATTTCCGTACCAGCAGAGTTTCACTTCTGCTGTGCCAGGAGGCGTCTATTAATATCTACTCCGTACATTTAGCTGTGGGGTGTGTGTGTGTGTGTTTAGAGATTGTGTGTGTTTGTCTTGGCCACCCAACCTCCCGTGTGCCGTGCCGGTCTTTAAGGGCGCTCGCTAACAGAACTTGTTCCGAGAATCTACTCAGGCGACACGGGGAGAGGCGGGGCTATCGTCGTCTGTGTTGTGTGTGAGAATTCTAGATTTAAAGCTTTCGTGACTGCAAGGATCCATACTCTTTGGTTCTATTCGATAAAGTCACGTAGGTAAAAAAATAAAACAACAAAAATCACGACGTTTCGGCCACAACACAAGCGGCCTTCATCAGGTGAAGGGACCAGGCTGTCTCGAGGACAGCGCTGGAGTGAAACACAGCCACGCTCAGACCGCGACCTTTAAGCTGTGTGCGAGGAAACAAGGTGCCTTGACAAAGGAATTAGCATAAAAATTTGCATTTGATTGGCCGACTTAGCATAGAGGTGGTGTACATGCGGGTGAACATGCCGGTTGGCGCGGGGGGGGAGGGGGAGTTTACCTATTGATGGTGTGAAAAGGGAATTTGAGAGCTGCGAAAGTTTGGGGTACCACTACTTGAAAAATATACTATACCATTGAAAATTAGTTTAATGTTTGTGTGAGAGCCCGAGGCTCGCAGCCAGCGGTGTGCCTGCCGAAACGTCGTCCATCTCGCTGCCCATGACTCTTGGCCCTGAGTTGCGGTCTTCGATTCGCCGCTGCGATCTGGAACAGCGAGGACTGTCGCGTTAAACGCTTGGACGAGTGACGATTTTTTATATTTTTTGTTTTGTTTGGCAAGTGTGGAGGGTCTTACGAAACAGATCTCGAACACATAACGTGGCCTAATCCAAAGATTAATTCTTATTCTTATAACGCTGTGGGCTCGCTTGATATTGTTTTTTTTTTCCGAGACAAAGGTACTCTGCAAACCTTCGGGCAACTATCAAAGGATTGTTCATGAAGCCATCCAGATATATAAACATAGACATAGCTTAAACCGACAAGATGGATACAAATTGAACAATCATTGTAAGGACGTTATAAACCAGGTAATGTCTTAACTGGTTGTGGTTGTTTCCATCATATCTGCCGTTTACGAGTACATTTAACCCCCCCCCCGTGTCCCACACTCAGCTTCCCACTTCTAGCCACCCCCCCAGCCTCACGTCCTCTCTCCCCCTAGCGCTCACGTAGCCCCACCCCTTCCCCTACCCCCCCCCCTCTCTCTCTCCCCCCTTGCCCCTCCCCCCTTTCTCTCACCTATATAACCTCGTGCCACGGCAGCTCTCTCGCCCACTTCGGCAGTTTGTTCTTGCTGTGGTTGTTCCACCTGATGATGATTGCTTGTGTTGCGATCGAAACATCGTGATTTTTTTTTAATGTTATTTCTACCGACAGTGACTTTACCGAATATAACCAAAGAGCATGATTTATGATGTAATACCAACGGTTGTACACAATAGCGACGTTGACTGGCTAGCGCGTAAACAACCCTTTGCAGCGTGCGTGTCCCCGAATGCGCAGATATTTGGTGGCGAAATGTTCGCCGGAACAGGGAGCCACGTCGGATGCGGTGTCTGTCTCAGGGTTCCCCGGTTTACGCTGCGCGCCATCGCGCGCTGTCTCCGGCGCATCTCGCAGTTCCATTGCGCCGAGCTCCCGGGACCAGGCTGGGGCGCGCAGTGAGTCGACGAGCGAGAGGCGGCAGCAGTTCGCAGTGGGTTCGGCCCAAGGCGCCTCCAAGAATCGCTCCTGCAGAAGGGCGATTCTCAGAACGGGCGCTTGAGAGGGGAATGGATTTGCACTCGAGTGAGTGAGTGAGTGGGAGAGAGTGGGAGAGAGAGAGACAGCAAACGCGATGCAAGAGGAAGCGAGCCGTCCATTTTTATTCATTGTCAACAAATCGCTTCTCGGACATGTATTTTATTTTTTTAAACCATCATCTATCAACCCGGACCCAGAAGAAAATCCCTCGGTGAGCAAGGAGTCGTGTCGCTACTCAACAGGAGTCGATTTTCTTGGTTTGCCAGCGGCGTCAGAATCTTGATCAAAATCTTTATTTTAGACTGGGAGGAATCCGATGAGCTATGAAGCTCTTCCCCCCCCCCCCCTTCCACAAATGTCCAGATGTGATTGCGTCTCAAAATGTACGGCTGCCCCTTTAAAAAAAAAATAAGATTCCCAAACACAATGCGATTGTGGAAAGTCATATTTTGACTCGGAACCCTTTAAACCTCCCAACAGATTTAGCGACACGTTGATATTAACGCGATCTAACCCACAAAAAACCCTCTATTGTGGATAATATTGGTCGCGAAAGCGTACTACTCCCTACTACGTGTTAAACTGACAGCCACTTGAAGTTGCCAGATCGCGGCAGCTTAAGAACACCACAGAGACAAAGCGACAACCATTAAGCAGCCCATTGCTATTGCGAGCAAGCCCATTGTTCTTCAGGTTCTAAATCACTCCGCGAATGTTCCAATGTTCCATTGCGAATCCCATTCACCGCGGAGTAACTTGTCAGATTGAAATAGACTGGGAGCGCAGTATTCTACGTAAAGACTACAAATTCTAATCTTGATTTGAAGCTTTCGTTACTGCAGGAATCCATACTCTTTGGTTCTTTCGGTAAAGTCACGTGGGTAGAAAGTAAAATAAATCACGACGTGTCGATCACAACACAAAATGTAATCCAGCAGTGGAACTGATGGATTATATTTGTTCCGCCTGAGGACGACCGCTTGTGTTGCGATCGAAACGTCGCGATTTATTTTATTTTTTTACTTACCTACGTGACTACAGATTTTGTTTCATCGCCATCGTTATCATTCTCAGCCGTGGTCTATCCACTGCTGGATGAAATCCTCCCCCCGGCTGTCGCCAACTCCTCATCATCCCACGAAGCCAAATTCTGACTCCTTGGACGTGAGCCGATCTCATGGCTCCATCTCCACGCTGGACATCCTTGCGGGACCAGTCCCTGATCTCTTTCGAGGTTACACAAGTCTATTGACGTAAAGATATGCACTATTTAGCTGCCTTTTCTTCACACCTAACCTACGTGCCAAGCCCTATGCAGTTACACAATGCAGGACGTGACGTATGTATACACCACGGCGCACACATACGCACACATACGCACACGTAAGCACACATACGCCATACCGCGGTCAGTGCGTGTGTGCCTTGGTCCATGGCACGCGCACGCACGGAGCCAGGGCACGTGCACCGCGAGGCACGTGCACCACCGTGCCGGGTGCACGCGTTGTGTGTGTGTGCCACGTGTTGTGTATGTGTGCCACGTGTTGTCTATGTGTGCCACGCGTTGTGTGTGTGTGCCACGTGTTGTGTATGTGTGCCACGTGTTGTGTGTGTGTGCCACGTGTTGTGTGTGTGTGCCACGTGTTGTGTGTGTGTGCCACGTGTTGTGTGTGTGTCACGTGTTGTGTGTGTGTGCCACGTGTTGTGTGTGTGTGCCACGCGTTGTGTGTGTGTGCCACGTGTTGTCTGTGTGTGCCACGTGTTGTGTGTGTGTGCCACGTGTTGTCTGTGTGTGCCACGTGTTGTGTGTGTGTGTCACGTGTTGTGTGTGTGTATCACGTGTTGTGTGTGTGTATCACGTGTTGTGTGTGTGTATCACGTGTTGTGTGTGTGTGTCACGTGTTGTGTGTGTGTGCCACGTGTTGTCTGTGTGTGCCACGTGTTGTGTGTGTGTCACGTGTTGTGTGTGTGTGCCACGTGTTGTGTGTGTGTGCCACGCGTTGTGTGTGTGTGCCACGTGTTGTGTGTGTGTCACGTGTTGTGTGTGTGTGCCACGTGTTGTGTGTGTGTGCCACGCGTTGTGTGTGTGTGCCACGTGTTGTGTATGTGTGCCACGTGTTGTGTGTGTGTGCCACGTGTTGTGTGTGTGTGCCACGTGTTGTGTGTGTGTGCCACGTGTTGTGTGTGTGTCACGTGTTGTGTGTGTGTGCCACGTGTTGTGTGTGTGTGCCACGCGTTGTGTGTGTGTGCCACGTGTTGTGTGTGTGTGCCACGTGTTGTGTGTGTGTGCCACGTGTTGTGTGTGTGTGCCACGTGTTGTGTGTGTGTGCCACGTGTTGTGTGTGTGTGCCACGTGTTGTGTGTGTGTGCCACGTGTTGTGTGTGTGTGCCACGTGTTGTGTGTGTGTCACGTGTTGTGTGTGTGTGCCACGCGTTGTGTATGTGTGCCACGTGTTGTGTGTGTGTGCCACGTGTTGTGTGTGTGTGCCACGTGTTGCCCGTATCGCGCCCTGCTGCCCGGGTGAGTTGAGTGTGCCTTGTCTGTGCGTGCCTGCGGGTGTCTGCTGAAGCTGCGCTCCCCGCTGCCCCGTCTTGTCGCTCGCGATCCGCGGGAGTCACCCGCTCCTGTTGAGGCCAAACTGCAACGGCACAGGGGATTAGAGGTCTCACAATCGCCTCCCGTGGTTCGGTTTTCGGCTGATGTTTGTTGAACCGGGTGAGAACGCTAAGAAATCCGGGATAGTCTCGCGTGCATGAATGACCTGGGGCATGAGTATGTGAGTAGGGGGGGGGGGGTGCGATGGTTATTGCTGCTGCTGTGTGTATCATCACAATTAAGTAATTTGTTGGTATTTTTGTTTTATATTGAACGTGACGCCAGCACAGAATTGGCCAACTCTTGTGAATGGCATCATGGGGGGGGGGGGGGGTCTTTGACGTTCACTGTGAAGCAAGCCGCGCGTAGTATTGTGACGTAGGATTGTGACGTAGTGTTGTGACGTAGTGTTGTGACGCCCGCGCTAGCGGCCGGGGGGTGGGCGACAGCCTCGCTGATTCGGCGCCGTGAAACCTCTGCAAGAAGCGGCGAACGCGCCACCACCAGAGCCGCACCTCCTCATTTTACCTCTTTCTTGAAGCGCCGCAGGATGTGCTTCACCCAGGCCTTGTCGGGGTCCAGGCAAACCTTCCTCCCGTTGGGCAGAGATGCGCTGCAACGGCACGGACGCGCCCTCGCGTCGCTCCCCGTGGTGACGACGCCCTGTGGTGATGCCCTCGGGCCGTGCCCTGTGCTGTTCCCCTGTGGTGTTCCCCTGTGCTGTTCCCCTGTGGTGTTCCCCTGTGCTGTTCCCTTGTGGTGTTCCCTTGTGATGTTTCCCTGTGGTGTTCCCCTGTGCTGTTCCCCTGTGATGTTCCCTTGTGATGTTCCCCTGTGGTGTTTCCCTGTGGTGTTCCCCTGTGGTGTTCCCCTGTGCTGTTCCCTTGTGGTGTTCCCCTGTGGTGTCTCCCTGTGCTGTTCCCCTGTGATGTTCCCCTGTGCTGTTCCCTTGTGGTGTTCCCCTGTGGTGTTCCCCTGTGGTGTTCCCCTGTGGTGTTCCCTTGTGGTGTTCCCCTGTGGTGTTCCCCTGTGGTGTTCCCCTGTGCTGTTCCCTTGTGGTGTTCCCCTGTGGTGTCTCCCTGTGCTGTTCCCCTGTGGTGTTCCCCTGTGGTGTTCCCCTGTGGTGTCTCCCTGTGCTGTTCCCCTGTGATGTTCCCCTGTGGTGTTCCCTTGTGGTGTTCCCCTGTGGTGTTCCCCTGTGGTGTTCCCCTGTGCTGTTCCCTTGTGGTGTTCCTCTGTGATGTTCCCCTGTGGTGTTCCCTTGTGGTGTCTCCCTGTGCTGTTCCCCTGTGGTGTTCCCCTGTGCTGTTCCCCTGTGATGTTCCCCTGTGCTGTTCCCCTGTGGTGTTCCCCTGTGGTGTTCCCCTGTGGTGTCTCCCTGTGCTGTTCCCCTGTGATGTTCCCCTGTGATGTTCCCCTGTGCTGTTCCCCTGTGGTGTTCCCCTGTGCTGTTCCCCTGTGGTGTCTCCCTGTGGTGTTCCCCTGTGGTGTTCCCTTGTGCTGTTCCCCTGTGATGTTCCCCTGTGGTGTTTCCCTGTGCTGTTCCCTTGTGATGTTCCCCTGTGGTGTTCCCTTGTGCTGTTCCCTTGTGATGTTCCCCTGTGGTGTTCCCTTGTGGTGTTCCCCTGTGGTGTTCCCCTGTGGTGTTCCCTTGTGGTGTTCCCCTGTGGTGTTCCCCTGTTGTGTTCCCCTGTGCTGTTCCCTTGTGCTGTTCCCCTGTGATGTTCCCTTGTGCTGTTCCCCTGTGATGTTCCCCTGTTGTGTTCCCCTGTGCTGTTCCCCTGTGGTGTTCCCCTGTTGTGTTCCCCTGTGCTGTTCCCTTGTGGTGTTCCTCTGTGGTGTTCCCCTGTGGTGTTCCCCTGTGCTGTTCCCTTGTGGTGTTCCCCTGTGGTGTCTCCCTGTGCTGTTCCCCTGTGGTGTTCCCCTGTGGTGTTCCCCTGTGGTGTCTCCCTGTGCTGTTCCCCTGTGATGTTCCCCTGTGGTGTTCCCTTGTGGTGTTCCCCTGTGGTGTTCCCCTGTGGTGTTCCCCTGTGCTGTTCCCTTGTGGTGTTCCTCTGTGATGTTCCCCTGTGGTGTTCCCTTGTGGTGTCTCCCTGTGCTGTTCCCCTGTGGTGTTCCCCTGTGCTGTTCCCCTGTGATGTTCCCCTGTGCTGTTCCCCTGTGGTGTTCCCCTGTGGTGTTCCCCTGTGCTGTTCCCCTGTGATGTTCCCCTGTGATGTTCCCCTGTGCTGTTCCCCTGTGGTGTTCCCCTGTGCTGTTCCCCTGTGGTGTCTCCCTGTGGTGTTCCCCTGTGGTGTTCCCTTGTGCTGTTCCCCTGTGATGTTCCCCTGTGGTGTTTCCCTGTGCTGTTCCCTTGTGATGTTCCCCTGTGGTGTTCCCTTGTGCTGTTCCCTTGTGATGTTCCCCTGTGGTGTTCCCTTGTGGTGTTCCCCTGTGGTGTTCCCCTGTGGTGTTCCCTTGTGGTGTTCCCCTGTGGTGTTCCCCTGTTGTGTTCCCCTGTGCTGTTCCCTTGTGCTGTTCCCCTGTGATGTTCCCTTGTGCTGTTCCCCTGTGATGTTCCCCTGTTGTGTTCCCCTGTGCTGTTCCCCTGTGGTGTTCCCCTGTTGTGTTCCCCTGTGCTGTTCCCTTGTGGTGTTCCTCTGTGCTGTTCCCTTGTGCTGTTCACCTGTGATGTTCCCTTGTGCTGTTCCCCTGTGATGTTCCCCTGTTGTGTTCCCCTGTGCTGTTCCCCTGTGGTGTTCCCCTGTTGTGTTCCCCTGTGCTGTTCCCTTGTGGTGTTCCTCTGTGCTGTTCCCTTGTGCTGTTCACCTGTGATGTTCCCTTGTGCTGTTCCCCTGTGATGTTCCCCTGTTGTGTTCCCCTGTGCTGTTCCCCTGTGGTGTTCCCCTGTTGTGTTCCCCTGTGCTGTTCCCCTGTGGTGTTCCGCTGTGGTGTTCCCCTGTGGTGTTCCCCTGTGCGGGATGCCTCTACGCCACATGGCTCAGCGCTCGAGTCACAGCTGCTCGCAGTCGGCAGGTCGCGAGTTCAAATCCACGTTGTGGTGGTTCAACTCAGCCCATCAGCCATCAGGGGGTCGATCAAATGAGCACCGCTCTCATCGGCGGAGTTTGACTTCTAGATTTGGGTTCGCTTTGCCGCTCACATTAACAATCGCGGCTGCATATAATTTAAAAAAATGTAACCTTAATAAAAAAATTACTATAAATAAATTAAATAAAGGTGTCAGGTTTGGGCGGGACATGACAAGTGTCTGTTCTATGGAGAGGCTCGATCCCGACAGAGGAACGAGGACATTCCACCAATAGCTCGGGAGCGGTGAACCAGGAGACGATCCTGACAGAGGAACGAGGAAATTCCACCAATAGCTCGGGAGCGGTGAACCAGGAGACGATCCCGACAGAGGAACGAGGAAATTCCACCAATAGCTCGGGAGCGGTGAACCAGGAGACGATCCCGACAGAGGAACGAGGAAATTCCACCAATAGCTCGGGAGCGGTGAACCAGGAGACGATCCCGACAGAGGAACGAGGAAATTCCACCAATAGCTCGGGAGCGGTGAACCAGGAGACGAGCAACCGCCCCCTGGCTCATTTGAGCAAACCAAAAAATTCGAACTTCGATGGCGGGAAGCGGTGTGTGGGTGTGTGTCAAAAACATCGTTGCTGTGCAGTGTACTGAATCCCGAGCGATGGCCGCCGGTAATGGCGGTGTGTCACGCGGCGTGGGCCTCACGTGACGTCGCGGTGGTGGTGTATCACGTGGCCTGGTGCCTACGTGACGTTGCGTTGGTGATGTGTCACGCGGCGTGGTGCCTATATGACGTTGCGTTGGTGGTGTGGCGCGTGGCGTGGTGCCTATATGACGTCGTGGTGGTGGTGTATCACGTGGCCTTGTGCCTACGTGACGTTGCGTTGGTGATGTGTCACGCGGCGTGGTGCCTATATGACGTCGCAGTGGTGGTGTATCACGTGGCCTGGTGCCAACGTGACGTTGAGTTGGTGATGTGTCACGCGGCGTGGTGCCTTACATGACATCGCGGTGGCAGCTGCTGGTGAAGCGGTGGTCCACCAACCCCCTGATGGACTTCAGCCGCAGCGGTTTACGGTAGAAGTCCGCACACTGGCACCGGGTGTCCAACCCATGGACGATCACTCCTGGGCAACGGGTGGAGCGAGCGCGAGTCGCCGCTGTTTAGGATCGCCGCGCGACGCTTACGAATCGCGTTGTTCCGAGATGAATCGCCAAGTCGGTAACGCGCCTGTTCGCTCGCGTGGCCATGTGAGCGGTGGTTGCTGTCCGTTCACCGCGTTGGTCCGATACGCTGACTGGCGTCCGAATCGCCGCTCTCCCTTCGCCTTGCCGTGGTGGCTAGGAGATGTTAACTACCTTGCCGGATATACATGAGGTCGTGGGTTCGATTCCGACCCTGACGCCTGCTGTATATTTGGAGTGCGCGTGTCTCTCTCTCCCCGTGGTCGCGTGGATTTTTCTCCGGGTCCTCTGGATTTTCCCTCCACATTGAGAATCAACTTGCGTTTCGAGTATTTGGCTGCTACGAATGTCCACGCTACAATCCAATTCGTTGAGCTATAATTTGTGATAGCCAGGTTAGCTTATAAAAATAGCTATATATCTCAGTGGGCCTTACCTGGTAAAATATAAATGTAGATAAGATAAGCTAATAAATATAATTGTTTAATTAAATATAATCGCTCCATCTGGGATGTATCGCCCTTGCACTGTATGCCGCACGCTTAAAACCACAGCCCCATTCGTCCTTGATGAAGGCTTCCCTGCACGGTGGGGGACGTTTGACCATACTTCACCACGCTGGTCAGTACGGGTTGGTGAAAGGCGGAACTCAGGACCCAGCTTACAAAGTAAACCGATACCCTTAACTCGGGTCGCCTTCGTCAAAACTCAGTGCGCGCACCCACTGTGCCGCCACTCCCTTGCAATACCACACACGCGGCTCTCTTCACCTGAAAGAATGTCGTGGTATGCCGCAGAGTCTCAAAGTGCAATTCAGCACAAGGCGCCATAAACCCCGTGAACCACAAAAACACCTGGTTGCACCGCGGGCTTCACGGACGGGCGAGACGTCGCCACACACTCTCTGATGGACACAGGTGAAAGATCTTCAACATTTTGACCCCTTTCGAGTCTGGCTCCAAAATGCGCTGTCTCACTCATGATGATTTTAATGTTGGGCGGCGTCGCGGGAAGGGCCGTGGGGTTCAAATCCCTGACCGAGGCCATCAAGGACAGCCACTTTAAGACGGAAACAGGAGGAGGATTCCTCCACAACTCTGGCTGCCGCCTGATGATGCTTGTTGCAATTACCGGCGAAATATTGTACTCGGATTATAAATGTTGGCGGCTTACTCTCCCACACACCGGTGTGCTGAACTGGTAACGAATCTGAACGCGTTGTTTACGTGACAAACTTTACTAATTGGCTGTGTCGGGTGGTGGCCGGTTAACAACACTTTCATATTTACGCGATGTTACCCCCAAAAAAACCTCTATTGTCGATAATATTGGTCGCGAAAGCCCTACGCCTACTACTACTACTACGTGTTAGACTACATAGATACAACACAGAGCAATGGGCGCACTTCGTTCACGAATGGAAAATGAAAGACACGAGCCAGAGTGAGGTGCCACTGTGGCCATGCGGCCCGGACTACGGACCGTGCAGTAAACCACGTGGTCTGCGCTCCTTCAACGGAGGAGGAAATGCAAATCTAACACGGACCATCTCTCTCCCTATGCGGAAGCCCTCTCGTCGTGGCCAGCAGCAGACACTGGCATCAAGCTCCTGAACATATTTTAACTGCTGCCATACACGAGAGTAGAATTAGTGGCACAGGATTACGCGATTTTTTTTCCCCAGGAACCGCAGGGGCAACGCTTGTTTTTCTAGGATGCACTGATTTGTGGAGGACGGATGACTTGAGTTTCGCCGGAGTACACTCTCTTCTTCTGCGGACGAACGCAAAGTCTGAACACGTTTACAGAATCGGTCACGATCTCCGTGCCTCAGAGTCACCGTCCGCGTATGTCCGCGAAATATTGTGAAAATCATAATCATCATCATCTGCCATCTCATATGCGGAGTGATGGCGAGCAGTACATTGGGCCTGCAAATCCAGAATTGTTCAAACTAACCTACCAGATAATCCGTTAAGCCAATGGAGAAAGCGACCCGAATATCCTCCTTGTCTCTGTCCATCCAGCAGTATGAATGGGTTCGCCAGACTTAGTGCATTGGCAGGTTTTGTGTGTGTGGTGGGGTAAAGTGTGGGTACGCCGATCGGTTCGAGGACATCTTGAATAGTTTGAACAGTGTACCCACGAGAGTTCGCTCTAGTGGAGGGCCCTTCCACCAGCGAGCAAGATATTGCAGGGCTGCGCCTTTACGCGCTCCCTTACCTTATACCCTTTTATTTTCATCAGGGATGCTGCTGCTGCTGCCAATCAGAATCGCACGTCGCTGGCCGATCAGAATCGCACGTCGCTGGCCGATCAGAATCGCACGTCGCTGGCCGATCAGAATCGCACGTCGCTGGCCGATCAGAATCGCACGTCGCTGGCCGATCAGAATCGCACGTCGCTGGCCGATCAGAATCGCACGCGCTGTGCCGTTTGCACATCGGCGATTGCCTCATTCGATTATCTGCATTCGGCAGGAAAGAGGTTTCCTGTTGCTGACCTTTGGGCGCGCGTGACCGATAATAAGGGGTCCGGTTGTCGATCACAGGACCCAACTTAGCATCACACGTTTAAAGTTGGGTCAACGACTGCACGTAGTTAGCAGCGAGCGAGCGAGCGAGAGGGGTTCCCCCCCCCCCCCCCCCCCCCCCCGTCGTTTCATTTGGCCAGGAAATAAAACATTTTAGTACCAAACGAATAAACGTGCCATAGTAATCGCCTCGTTGTCAACCCCACTGCTGGATGTGGCCTCGTCGGGGGGTTATTTGACCACACCGCCCGGCGCGGTTGGTGAAAAGTGTGGGCGGGGGTGGCCATAGACGTGGGTGCCGCTCAAGCTCGAGGCGACATCAGCGGTGGTGCTGCTGCCCGCCTGAGGCCGGTAGCGTGGCCCTCTCCTAAACCCCCCGCAGCAGCCCCGTACAGCGCCACGTCGCTCGGTGCGCGATAGCCACGGCGAACATCGCGGGCGCCAGAGAGAGAGAGGGGAGGGGAGGGGAGATCGCGGTGGTCGCGCTGTAGCGCCGCGCTCGCGTTTTCTAAATAAACTTAAATACTTTACTTTCTTGACGCGGTGGCCTAGTGAAATAACTGAGCGATCGGCGTTTTGGAACTCGACATTCACTCGTCGGTCGCACCGTCGCCTATGGAAACGTTTGCCGGAGTTAATTGCCTGCGTGGTGTGATCCACATCGCACGGTAACTTTTGTTTGTCCCAGTTGGCCCAACCGATGTCGGTACGTTTGAGCGAGGGCGCGTGCGTTGTGAGCGGTGTCGAGACCGCAGCGCGACAATGACGGGCAGATCCCCTTCGGCAGCCGTCGTAAAATACACCGAGGGAGCCACACGTGGAGGCTACAGCAAAGCCCCACACGCATTGACCAAGTGCAATTCCAAATTCACTGCGAGCGTGATATCGCCATCATCGTGTTATCGCGACGAGGCGTGATCGTCTCGCCCATCCAAGCGATTCAAAGCCTGCCGCGCGCCTCTGTCACCTGATGAGATGGAGCGCGTTGGCGCCCAATTCTCACCGTGAGACGTGGAGAGGAGAGTGGCGAGCAGCAGCAGCAGGAGGAAGAGGGGAGGCGACGGGATGCGAGGCGACCCCATGGCCGTGGGGATGTCTCCTCTCCGCGTCGTTCGCGCCGCTCTTCTGAGCTCAGGACGCGCGCATCCGGGCCATTAAATATCAGCGGAGGCTTTTTTTTCGTGTTCCCCTTCAGCGAGTGCTGCAGAAAATAATTAATTAACTCGCTCGCGACTTTAAACAAAAAAAACAACACGAGGAGGAGGAGGAGGGGGAGCACCGAGGCACCTTTTTTTGTCGGAGGAGGAGGTCTCTGCCGGCAGTAATCTTTATCGCTTTCGCGGCCGAGACGTTGTTTTGATGTTGGGGCGCGAGTGGTTTTAGTTTTGTTAGCGAGCTGGCACCGCTCCGCAAACTCCACTCGCCCCGCGGCCCGATCAGCGCACGCAGAAAGTGACATGCTGGCGCCATTCGTCCACCGCTCCCCGCCCAACCGATTTAGCGGAGCGTCGGCACCGCCCCAAGGCCACCAACAAAAGAATTCTTCCCCACCAGGCGCTGATTTGACTCCAAAGTCGGGCACCCCCCCCACACACGCATCCACCCCATCCCTGTGTGGGTTACCCGGGGCCCGCAATGTCCCACCTGGTAGTCGCTACAGCGCCATCGCAACTACCAAAGACAAAAAAAGTTCCTCCCCGTGCAGCCTGTGAACAGACTGTTGGGGCAAGTGCTGCACCATTGAAGGCCGGCACGGCACACGAGGGGGTGGGTGGCCAGCACCACGCCCGGCCGCCTTTGTCTCCCGAGTGGCGACGTTTACACACCGCACCGGGTGCTGATTTGAGGCTGAGTCGACCTAGGTGAGGCCCGGGACCAGTTCAGATAATGATCACTGCAGTTGGCCGTGAGCGAGAATCGAACTCGGGTGGCCAGCTCAGCGAGCTAACCGCTACACTACCGCTCCCCACACCGCAACCACCACCACCACCACCACCGCCCCAAAAGCAAAGTTAGCCAGCAATAAGATGCTTCCATCGCAGTGAAAACATCGCAAGAGGCGTGCGCGCGGAACCTGCTGTGTAAACTCCGCGGGCAGAGAGAGAATTCTTGCAGAGTCGTAACACAAACTGCCGCTGTGGCGAGAGAAAGGAGTTTCTCAGACGCAAAGCGGTGCGCTGCTGACTGCGATTTCCGATCGCAATCAGCGTCTTGTTCCGTGACACGACGCTGATTTTGACACTTTGGCTATAATCGCACGTAATTAAAGCTACATTCATTATTCTGCGGCCTCGCTTGCACGAGTCAACGCGGCTCTGCGCTGCATTGTGCCTTCAAAGTTAATTTAAAGGAGATTTTCTGCAGCGGAGAGCGGCTCTTCTTCACAGCGGTGGCGCGAGCGAGAAATCGCAGGGCTGCATTTTGACAGATTTGAACTGAAAAATAAATCCAAATGAACCACGCGGTTTATTTGGGCCGACATGCGGCTTTGTTTTTTCGCCGGATCCACAATCAGCGCACGCATTGCGTCCATCTCACTGGAAACGGTCACGGGTACCCAAAATATCACAAACGGTAAATCGATAAAAAACGGTTACCGGTTTACCGCTCATCATTTAATAGCTGCGCGAGTGTGTGTGTGTGTCATGGTTTATGATCGTGCAGGGAGCACTGGTGGGTGGCTGGGTGATTGGGTGGGTGGATGGGCGAGTAGGTGGATGGATGGGTGAGTGGGTGAGTTGGTGGGTTGGTTGATGGGTGAGTGGAAGGGCTAGTGGGTGGATGGGCGTGTGGGTGGGTGGGTGAGTGGATGGATCGGCGAGTGGGTGGGTGGATGTATGAGTGGGTGGATGGGTGAGTGGGTTGGAGGATGGATGGGTGAGTGGAAGGGCTAGTGGGTGGATGGGCGGGTGGATGGGTGAGTGGGTGGATGGGTGAGTGGGTGGGTGGGTGAGTGGGTGGGTGGGTGGATGGGTGAGTGGAAGGGCTTGTGGGTGGTTGGGCGTGTGATTGCGTGAGTGGGTGGATGGGTGAGTGCGTGGGTGGGTGGATGGATGGGTGAGTGGATGGAAGCAACATGAAGAATTAATCGAATCAGATCACTTGCCACGCGGTCGTGAACGAATAGCCCTGTGCGAGCCAGAGTGATCTCTTCAGAATTCGTGGACATCGTTCATATGTCCTCTCTCAGCTGTTGGAACCAATACGGCGGACTGAAGGAGGCAAGACGATACAAACGAAACGGGATGAAACGCCACGACAAATTTACGTGTCAAGGCGTGGGACAATTTCGATGCAGAAATGCAGCTGTAGCAGTGTGTTGTCGTGCGTTTAAAGGGTGGCTCTGGGAGTTGATGCTCGGCAGCTACTTCCGAGGGCTCGCTTGTAATCGACCTTTTGATTCACGCTCGGGCACACCACCCTGCATGCCCCGCGGCGCGTTCGCCGCATGTCAATCAATCGGGGCCCGAAATGTTTTGGGTATCAGAGGCGGAATTTGTCCACGCATGAACAAAAACGATATGCGGTCCATTATGCGATGAATTTATCTCGCAATCATTGGCGATCGGGCTGAGGCCTGTAAAGTCTCCAGTGACGAACCCAGTGGGTTTTGTTCAGACACTCGCTGGCGGCTGAACACAAAGATTCGAATTGCACGGACCTTGGGTGGTTGGACCCGTGTTTCGATGAATGTGTGGAGGTTTGGATGGATTCATGAATGGCTGCGTAGATGAGGGAATGTCTGAATAGGTGGATAATGAGTGAATGGGTGGATAGATGTATGGGTGTGTGGCTGGTGGATGGGTGATTGAAAGGGTGTATGGGTGAGTGAGTGGGTGAGAGGATGGTTCGGTTGAACAGGTGGATGGGTGAATAATCGCGTGTGTGGATGTATGGATGGGTGATTGAGCTTGTGAATATGTGTCTGGGTGGTTGAATTGGTTGATGGCTGGTTGATTCAGCAGCTCGTTGGGTTTGAGGGAGGATTGGGTGTCACTCACCCCGGCTCTGGCCTCGATTTACCTGTCCCGACGGGTGCTCGCAGCATTGCAGGCGCCAGTCCAGCTGCCTTATAGCACTCGCAGCTTGTAAATCATCGTAACGCGGAGATGTTAATGATAAGGGGAGGCTGGGGGCGACGGGAGGGAGGGGGGCTGTTTATTCAAAGCCCCGTTTAAAATTCGCCATCATTTGCTTTCCCACACGCAAGACGGCGTTGATCGACTCGCATTGATCCAATCGCATTTCGTCATCGCGTGCGGTGGCGGGCGACCGCCCCCCACCCCCCCCCCCCCGGCCCGTGGACACTGCACGCGCTTTAGAACGAGCCGAGGTGTATCTCCTTTACACCATCAGGAATGCTGTTAGTGCTTCATAAGCGACGAGCGATGCGTCTGTGTGATATCAGTGCGGCTGTGTTATGGCAACATTAAACGTTACGGCGGCGCGTGTCGAACGTTCAATGGGTTCGTCCATCACGACGAATCTGGCTAAGAGTTTTTTTTATTCGTGTGGTTTTTATTTCTCGGCCGCTTCGCGAGCGGCGTGGGGCGAGGGCCCTCGCGCCCCGTCTGGTGCCACTCGTGAGGCCAAATTAGTGGGGTTGGTGGTGATGGTGCTGCTGCTGCTGGTGGTGGTAGAGGTGGTGGTGGTCACGTTGGCCCCAGGTGTGGAAGGTGGCCGGTTGCCGGGCGCGCCCACCCTGCTCGGTTCGGAACGCGACCGTCAAGCAGGGCCCGGTGGGATTCGGCGATGAGGAAGCGGTTCCCCGTGTCTCGGGTGAGACCCTTCCTCGAGATGCTACCTTGACACCTCCGTACGAGTCCCGACGTGGCCTGGCTGGCCCACACGAAAGCGGCGTCTCGACAACGAGCGGGCGGCTCGCGGAGGCGTCAAGCCGGGGTCCAGGCGCGGAGCCACCGTCGCCTTGGCCGTGGCTCCCCGTCAATCCTCCGCCGGATGAAGGCCGCCTCATTGACGCGCTCCCCGGCGGGCCCAGCGCTGCTTTTGCGCTGTCACGCTCCAGCCCGGGGAGATACAAACCCCGGGCGGAGCCGGGTTTGTAATGCGGCGCACGTGACCGCTGCGCCACTAGTCGGGACGCGATGCGGTGTACAGCAACCACGGATTCGTGACCGAGTGGTTGTGACGTCACCGCAGTGCTTGTGCCAGGCCGCGTGCACTTTGAGGCCAGGTGAAGCGTCGGAAAGCTCGCTGGCAGGAGGTCACGGGACAGACCCACGTGCCATTGATGATCTGACTGAGATGGCGAATGCACCACCTCTGTTCCCCAATGTGCCAATCTGATGCGTTCTATCCACCCGGTGCTCCACTCGCTGTTGTGAGCGTCGCTCCTCTAATCCTAGCTTGTTCTTTGGAGGGCGATTGCCTCCAACTCCCCAATAGCGTCCTTCACGAGCCTCCTCCACCGAGGCCGATCACGACACCGCTGCTGCCGGCCATCGGCAAGTCCACTCAGCCCAGCAGCAGTGTTACGCCTTCTCGAGTTCCAATCCCCCTTAAGGGATCGCGCTGCTGCTGCTGTCACCATCCTAGAATCTCGCGCGGATCTTAAAGACCTCTGCTGGCGAACAAGGACCCCAAACATCACGGCACTTCCTGGCTTTGAACTCCCCTTGTAGTAACGGTGGAACCAGCAGCCGCATCGGAACATCGCCAGGGCCGATGCTCCACATCTCCTTCGAAGGTGGACAATGAAAGACGAGGCCAGAGTGGTGGGATTGTGGCCATGCAGCCCCACGCTACGGAGCGTGCAGTAAAACCTCGCTGTGGTCTGTGCTCCTTCCACGGGAGAAGGAGAGCAGAACCACACGAACGAACTCTCTGCCCCTCTCCTGAAGCCCTCTCTCATCGGTCCCAGCAGCAGACATCGATATTGGCATTCGGCTTCTGAACACATTGCCGCTTCTGCTGCTGGCATCATGCGCACGGAGAGACTGCCTCTGTGGGTGTAACATCGGGACAAACCCGCGGCTGTGAGAACCGCTCACACATGCTCACAATTATTTGTTTAAAAATACACGCGCGTGTTCAAACACACACACACGCGCGTGTAAATACGTACTTCGCGTTTACAGCTGCTGTCAATATGTACACCTTTTAGCTGCCGCAAAGCGTGATGTATTCATCGTGTTACCTGATATGGCGCAAGCTCAAGGGCAAATGCGCGTCCACTATCTGTGCCGTAAATCTCACAGGCGACACGTCGCCGTCGATTAGTGAAATCGGTGCACAGAGGTCTCCCGTAAACACGCACCATCGCCAGCCAGGAATCATCCACTGCTGGATGAAGCCCGCCTCGAGCCGTTGCTAATTTTTGTTTTCTTCTGCTAACGCGGAGGCTGAGCACGGGGCCCAAGGCCCCAAGGCGTCACGCGCGACCAGCAACGAACAGCACACTCTCTCGTCAATGTTGTCACAGCTACAAGTGTAG